TGTGCTCCAGTTAAGGGTCGCCTGGTCAACTCAGGTTTCGCCTATGTTGGTGTCCATGTATTAACGAAACCATTTCACCATGCCGGCCTGCCTAGACTTCACCCACTATGTTGAGATGGCTATGCCGTCAAAATGTTTGTTAGAAGGGCCCTCGAAGAAATTGAGTGTGTGATGCTTCGTGGAGGTCCACCCAATGTATTCTTTACCTCAAGACTTGATTGTCTTTGTGGTAGCTTTTCAGTAGTGCTACCGAACACGATGTGATAAGTCTTCTCCTGCTGTTGGTGTAGTGTGTTGGGTACTCTTTCACCATGCTGGCCTACAGACTTCACCTCGTCGTGTCCGGGTTACTCAAACCTAGTCATGGCTTATGCTCTCTTGGCCCTTGAAACTACACTTCACCTCACCAAGTCGAGCTACCTCTTCACTCCAAGGGGGGCCCAATGTGTGCTCCCTTAAGGATCTGACCGAGTTGTGCGCAAGTGTGGCAATTTTTACCCATGATGTTGCCAAACATGCACTCGCCTTTGTGATGTGCGGTTGCTTCTGCAAATGTTCCACCTAGTGTGAACTGAGCATATCCTCCGATGCATTGCCAGTGTAGGGCCACCATGCTCCAATGGCCAATGTACCCACATTCCTAATATTCCAATATTGTGGCTTCAACCAATGACCCTTTTATGATGCAAATGATGCCACTTCAATGGTATTCCTTGACTAACCGTCGATACCAACCAATTTCGGACCATTGTCCCCGTCTTAGTAGTGCCTCAAATAAGCTATGGAACAAAGGATCATCCATCATGAAACCAAGATGCAAGAGCACCACCCACACCTCACTAAAATGAATAGTGATTGATGTTCGTGAGGAAGCATGGCACTCCCCCACTCAGACCACCACAATATGCCTTCCATAAAATGGTCCATGCATCTACCCCCACATGAGCACTGCTTCGAGGTCATTGGAATGGGGACACGATAAATGGCCTCTTGCCAGGCCTGATGTATATGCTTGCTTATACCCAAGTGGGAGTGTCGAGGGGCTGCACCCCACGATGTGCTTGTTGTCGAGATGATCGATTCAACTGGCTCTATGTGCTCTTATGCCAATTACAGGAGTAGATGGCTAATCTACTCTGATACCAACTGCGACAACAGTTGGGTGATTTGCTCTAATACCAACTACGACAACATTTGGCTAATTGGCTCTAATACCAAATGTCACGAGGGTAGTTCTACAGTGGATGAAACCTGTGCGGTATCCAGGACAAGCCTGATGTGTGTTGGAGGGCTAGGTGTTGCCCGATGAGATGGTACCACCAAGGTCAGCGGCACTAGATCACGACCTCATTGTGCATGGTCGGGGCTCTCTATTGGCTCTTGCCGGTCCATGAGAGGCACCTCTTACGTGCCAAAGGGGGACAGCCATGATGTGAGGCGACTTGGCACCGATGAGAAGGGACACTTGTATGTCGAGGATGATAGGCAACTGCTGGGCCAGAACACACTTGTGTGTTATGGGAAACAGGGTAACTCCTTCAGCTTAGACATGGGGCTAGCATGGTGAAGGGACATGCTTAGGCCAGGCTCACATGCCAAGCCTCCCTTCAGTTTCGATGGCATAGTTCAAATCCATGCACTATCCCCATGAGCATGTGTGCGCCCATGAGGAACCTTGGTAGCCATGGTAGCCATTAACTAGGGCCGCCCTGCAAGGGAAGTTGGTCTAGGAGTGCCAAGGTCAGGCACCCAAGGAGGTCGACCACCCCTCCTCAAAGAATACGTTAAGCTTTTGGTGGTCTGTCAATAGAAAACATAACTTCTCTCAATAATCATACTGGCAAAATTTATGATAGTGCCACTCAACGTAAGCCTGACAAGCATAGGCAAGGCTAAGCCTGTATCAAACTGTGACAAATGGGCATTGAGATCTAAGTCAATTATTCAAGGTGAGTGGGAGTGAGATCAGTGGATAGGTTCCACGCCAATGACCTATTTTTCAATCAAAACCCCCTCCAAATTCTCAGGCTTAATTAGATGAGTTCATTTGTTTCATTTTATTCTCCTTCCTAATCAAAGCACATGGTTGTTGAATTATGAATTAATTCCAATTTCAATTTTGATTGTTAATATTTGACATAGAATGCTAGTAAGCAATGACTTCATAGAGCACTTTTCTACCCATCCAATTTAGGTTGTGTTTGGTACCATTGATGTTTCTACCTGAAACGTTTTGGGTTGATCAATATAAATTGGTTATTGGCATGCAAATATTGTCATTAGAAGCTATTTATTGTTGAAATATACATTAATTAAAAATGCATGTGTGAGAAGCTGTTTGTAGAAACATTAAATTGGTGATTCTTGACCTAAGGGGTGAAGTCTAATCATTCTAGCTGAAGTAACTCTTACATTTGATTTGACAACTCATATCTCTCACCAATTTGTATTAATCAACCCAATGATGGTACCAAGCACAACCTTAGTCATGCGGTTGTTCATTATTGTTTTTATAAATAAGATTATCATTAAGCCAACAAGAAACTAAAAAAACAATTAATAGTCAAGTTATGTTGTTATATGCGGAATGTGACCGTGACTTAATGATGAGAGATTTATCCCATTGTTAGAAACCATGAGGGTATACCTGTTTTGTAAGAGATATTATCTAACACTTATCATGCCTTTTTTCACATTTCTCTTAAGCTCACCATGACTTTTCAAAACCTCTAGAGAGTCTCCTTGTCCTTGTAAGTTAGTTTTTATTGTCAAAAACTCACCTTTTGTTAGATCAACATTAGTGATCTTTAACAAAAATTGCCCACATAAGAATTTAAGTAAATTACATAACCAAACTACCCCTAAAAGGTAGTGGCTCAGTTCATGGAGAGCATGGGTCTTTGGCACTTGCCATTCTGTACAATATTGCAATTCCAATCATACAACAATACATCATCACTGCATGTTTTATACCCATTGCTGCTTCCTAGTTTTCTGAAAGCACCTCATCTATACATCTATAAATATATTTATACTACTATTAAAGTATGAATGATAGTTTGGAACTTTTATTTGTCTAAAATACCCCTTATTTTTGAATTTGATCCCTCCTAATTGTAAGGGTAGAAAATGTAATTTGAACTACTACTTTTACCTCGTTCAATTCTTTCTCATTAAATCTTATGTTTAAGGCATTAACTCTCTTTTATTAAGCTCAATCGTTTCTAAGGCATTTGTCCATAAGACTAGTTTTGCATTTATTCATTTGTTAATTTCATTAATTAAAATGATGCCATCAACAAACAACATGCACCATGGGACTTTCTCCTAAATATGCTTAGTTAATTCATCTATAACATGTGCAAATAAATAAGGGCCAAGTGATGAGACTTGGTGAAGGCTCATCACAATTGTAAAATTCGGTGTCTCTTTGACAAATGTTTTTAACATTGGTTATAGCACTATCATACATATTCTAAACTAGTAAATATGTACATGCATTGAATGTGGCAATTTCAAATAACAATAATAATTTCAATATCTTTATTAGAACCCATAAAAACAAGTAATAAAATCATGGTGTGCTTGTGGATTTTTATATTTCGCTTTCATTGTTAACAAAAATACTTCTTAGTTAACATATTTATTTATGTTTAATATGGTAAATATATAATATTAGAAATATGCACAAGTTTTTGTGTTTTTTATATTTTTTATTTTTATCTATTTTTGAGTTTTTATTATATATTATGTGTTGATTTATGTAACTTGAAAGTAAAAGATTCTCTCATTTTTGGGCAACTTTCAATTTTCTATTCTATTTTCATGATTAGTAACACCCTTCCAACATGATCCGACACCACACTTCTCATACATGGTGGGTCCTACTGTTATTGTGGGTCCCATTCTCATGGTGAGATGTGTGGTGTCATGATGTTTAAAGGATGTTTGGAATGTAATTTCTTGGCAAGAGATCTGGACTTTAATCAAGGTAGGTTTATCATAGAGAGATATAATAGGAGGAGAGAGAGATTACCTTTAAGTGATGAAATTCTGGAACATCCCCATGAATTTAACAAACATGTACAGGAGATGTTTCCAATGTGCATCTGGATGTCATGTGTGCCAAGTTTTTGCTTGCGGGAGATTTGGGCTTCTACTTTTAGGTAATTGAGTTGGAAATATTTAAGACAGGTTTACATGTGGCACATGCTAAATCATTTTTCAAAGAATAAAAAATAAAAAAAAATCAAAAGAAAGAAAAAAAAATCGAATGAAGATTTTGGAGCAAAAAAGGCTACATGACGTGGCTCAATCTTTTATATATTATGGTATGGGCCTGAAGTGTTGGGCCAGGCCCAAGGCTGATGTGGGCCTGAGCTTGGGCTAGGCCTGAAGAGAAAACCCAAACCATGCCTATTTTTCATGGTAAGTTCATCAAAGGAATTACTATTAACATATGATTATCCTCATCCAAAATGACTTTACAAGAGATTAGATGGATGACTGCAAGGTGCCATGAGCGGTTCCTGGGTCAACCGGTCTGGTCCAGTTTTAAGAAATTGAGGGTTCGTTTTTTGGATTTTGAGAGGGGGATAGTCGGTCAATGGAATTCACAAAGGGGAAAGGTGAAAATTATTATGATTAACAATTTTATAATCAGTTGATTGGTTATAAATTTTACTGATATCACGTCTTTCCAGTATCATAGTCAAACCCTAATAAAAAACTCTCTCCCTTTCTTAAGATTTTTATAGAAGCATCTTTAAAGAAAACAAAAAATTAACTAGTGCTTCTTTTCAATGTACTAGAATTCTTTACATGACCTTGATTAGTGTTTCAATGTTTACTTTATCAACTAGAACAAATAATCACGATTAACAATTGTCCCAAGGGGGAAGGGGAAAATTATCTGGAATAGTGAAAATAGTGTTTATATGCCCTCTTCTGCTTGAACATTTACCACATATTCTGTATAAAACATGTATAGAAAATACCAATATTCCTGTTTCAAAAATGATTCTACCCATTCTCATCTTATCATGACCATTTTTCTCTAGATATTTTACAAAAAGGAGAGGAAAGTACAGTTTGGGTCCAGAAAAAGGAGCAAAACCACAACCTATGACCATTTTACTTCCAGAACAGCACCTTTGTTCTATTGCTGGCTCTGGCATTACTCTGCATTCTGTGTGCCAAGTTTACTAATTCCAATTAATGAGACTTTAAACACTTTACAGTGAATAGAAGAATGACTTCAATTATTGTGTCTGCCTTTCTATTCAGTAAATTACATCACTAAGCTTGAGTTCAGCCCCTACACTTTTAGAACTAAACCAATAGCCTCTCCAAGCCACCGAATAACTGTCATCTGATGAATCTGGAAAACCCACATGACAATTTACCCTGCATTAATGAATATTTTGTCACTGGATCTGTTGAAAGAAGAATTTGATGACACCCACTGTTCAAAATACAAGAATGATTGCAATCAGTCAAATAATTATGACAAAAATACTGAACCTGTCAACAAAACATATCCACAATTACTATATAATCAGGTTACAATTCTAAAATTTGGAATTAGATTTGAAGGATGTGTGGTTCTATATCCTTGTCACAGTAGTCTGATTCTGACAAGATATATCCAAGGCTCACCAATTATAAACTGATCCACGGTTCATAGGCAGGTACAGCCCTGGTAGCTAAGATTTTGACTTCCAAATTCCAAGCTTTCAGCCAATACAACAATTTAGTTGCAAATCTGAGAAAACAACTAGACTGCTATACTTTTTCTCCTTAACAATCATAAATCATGTAAAATCCCTGTTTGTCTTGTTGTCAAACAACGATACAAGGTCAAGGGCATACAGATCAAAAAAAAAAAACATATGGTACTGCCAAATGCTAATTTAAATTTAAGAATGCCATAATTATATGACATGGAGATAGAGTAACTAAGACTCTAAAATCTAGTTTCTGCATGTTAACTCCTTACAAATTAAGTTGCATGGCATAGCTTTAAATCATAGTGCCCATTTGGGAGGGCTTTCAGGTAGTGACTTCTGGCTTTGTGAGATGGGCCCCATCTGCATCTGGACAGCCCATAAACCAAGTTTGGTGTGAACTCCAGACAGTCCAACATATCTGTCTTTTGGACAGAAATAGTGTTTTCTGCTGAAGCTTCTTTTAATGGCTTCTCCAAAGCAGCTCGGTGAAAACAGATCAATCCAAGTTTCAATCCTCCCAAACAGACCCTGAAAGCTCTAAAATCAAACCTTTCAACAATTAATAGAAATTTTGTCACTTTAATATTTTCTTTGTTTACAAACTCAACTCGTGAACGAAATGCATGTCTGAATCAGTTTAACTAGAATAGAGTTCTGGTAGGCTTAAGATGTGAACTGGCCAGTCTGGCCAAACATCATCTTGCCAACTCAGTCAAATTATTTAGGATTCTCATTAGATAACTTGACTAGCACAAATTTCTTGAACATTCCATAATTTCCATTACATTTTGCCAATTACCAATTCATGTGTTTCTTTAAATACATTAGTGTAAGTAAAGCTTCTTAACATATTGATAATTTGAATTACATGTAATCAACTAATTGAGTTGCTAGTCTATTTCAGAGTTCTCAACCCATGGTCACCAATATGGGAAAAAAACAGTATGGCTCAAAATATCTCTAGTTATTTTATGAATAAAATATCTCTAGTTATATGTCATTATAAAGAACTAGCAATTCAATTAGTTAATTTATCTGTCTAGTTACATGTAATGGAAATACAGAAATTGAATTACCTCTATGCATGAACAACCAGTGTTTCGGTTGGAAGGGAACTCTTTTGTACATTCCTTTCATCTGTAAGAGTCTTAGCTCCACCAGTAGAGTTCCATCCAGGATCTCGCTGTTCTTGATCCACAGGAAAGAAAAACGGATCAAATACAATACCTTCTTTTGCATCCTTATTCTTCAAGTTACTTTCAATACCATTGTAATCCAGATTCTGTAGTATTCCAGGAAGTGAAATACTCCCATCCTCTGCAAGTTTACTTCTCATTTCTAGGTCAACTTTTTCTTTTCGATTAATGATGCTTCCACCCCTCTTTGAAGCAATAGATTCTGCTTCTTCCTGATCATCCTCCACCACCCATGAACGGAAATCATTCAACGAAGGTGGTATTTTTGAGAAAAATAGTTCTCTAATGTTCCTCGCCATCCCTTTATTATATGGGTTCTCCTTCTTATCATAGCGGTACCGAAAGTTCTCATAAGTTGTCTGTAGAAAAGAAAGGTTCATCACATTAGGCAAATTAGGTTTTAAAAACCATGGGTTACAGAAAATACTAGAGCTATAGATGATACAATGTAAAAGCATATGAACTGTATTCTTTCTAATTGATCTTTCATAAAACCAACGATAATAATGGACAAATATGAGTTTGTGGCGGTGACTATCAAGTATCAACTGCTTCTTCTAATTATTAATTAGGGGTATCCTTTTGAGGTTACAGTCTTACAGACCATGCAAGAGGGCACTTTTTACCTTGTTGCAGCAATTGATTTTGCATATAAATTTTTAATAAAACTAGTTTGCACCTTTTGCAATGTCTCATCATCCCCCCCCCAAACCATCAAAAAGAAAAAGGGAAAGATAAGAAAATGGAGGTACTCAAAATAACAGTCCAATAATAGATCTATTCTCATTTTGTTTTTTTTTTAATTCTATTTATCAATTACAGATACTTCAAGAATACTTCTAGTATATAAGTTTCTGTCCAAACATGGGTACAATCTTATTTCATATTGTCAATTTGTCATGTTAATACTAGCCTAGTGAATGGTGCATTTATAAGAAAATTCGCAAATAATATAAATTCTATGACATTGAGCACGACGTATAAGTGGAAGGACATAAATTTAAAACTAGAATTAAAAGATAGTATAAGAATACTGGGATGGTTATTTATTTATTCATGTCCTGCATTTTGAGAAATGAAGGAGTTGCATTCCAGTTTCAAGGATCAGCATCTATATGTTTAGCCATGTCTGCAAATCCTATCTCATGGTAGAAAACATAAGAATGACTAGAACAATCCTGAAAGGTAAACCATTGTAATTACTCCAATTGATATGAGTCATCCTGATGATTCTATAATTGTCAAAATACCCAGATTTGAGACTTGCTGTCTGGACCAAAACTATAATATGGACACTTCAGAGCAGTTTTGTCCAGACAAAGACACTAGTCAGCAAAACATGGATATGACTGCATTTCCTAAAATCCAAAGCAAGAAGAAAGATCAAATATCCTGAACAATGCAAAGCAATCTTAAATGAATTTAATAATAGTATGAATCGGTTAAAACCTTGATTCATAAATTTTGATGAGTCAACCATGTTCAACATATAAGGATAGGAAAATTAAGTTCCAGTTAGCTCTACAGAGAGTGTTGATGGTGGGTTTGAGAATTAAAAAATCAAATAAAATGATGAGAACAATATATCATTATTTCTCTTTTCAGCAGAAAATATTTAAATTTTCACCACTTCCAGAATCAAGATTTACATCTTAGGAGAAAGAAGATCACCTGGTTTGTGCAAATCAGATAGAAATGGAACATTGTTAGCCCACCAACAAACCAGATTGCTATGAAGCAGTAGACTATGAGAATAACTGACAGAACCTCATTTGACATAGTCTTCCACAGTGACCGCCCATTCCTTTGTTTAAGAAGATTGACCCAGGAAAATACAAAGACATACATGCACAAGAAGGTGGATGATGAAATAAACATGTAGAAAAACCTATAGTTACGCTGCAACCAGATTGACATGGAGAAGCTAGTTAGTTTCAAGCAAAAAGAAAGAACAAGCTTAACAGTTCTGTTCAGCGGAACTGGAAATCCAAATTTATACATACTATTAAGTATGGTATGGAAATGAAATTTTCATACAAATTTTGTATAATGGAAATTTAAGAAATCTTTTCAGGGAGATTCTTGGTCAAAACTTAACCAAACCTAACAGATACCATCCCACTATCTGATCAAATCCATCATGTCTCCTGTCTCTTCTAGAAGGCCATGCTTGACCAAGAATTTCCAGCATCTTGTTGTAAAATCGGATTACACCAGCATTATGTTGTATCAGAATTTCCAGACCTATGGCAATAATGATGAGTATGGCATACCAGCATCATGTTGTAAAATCAGATGTATACCTTAAAACTGATGCATGATCATAACTTAGAATTTTGCAAGTAAAGGACCTTACACAGAAAACTTATTATCCAGAAACAGGTTGCATTATCAACTAGATTGCTTGTTTTTAGATGGTCAGCATAAAGAAAATGAACAAAGGTAAAATTCAAAGGTTGGACTGACCTTATTACTAAAATAAAAAGTGTGTAGTCTCCATTTTATAACAGTTAATATTAAATGATCTTCAAAAGTTGTCCTAATCCTTAAACAAGACTACATTAGAACAACTTACCACTCCGATACACTGACCAACCCATGGACAGTGGTGATCAAACCTCTGTACACAATTGTTGCAGATTGAGCAATGAGAAGCACGAGGTGGACGATAAAGCAAACAAGTATCACAAAACTTCACTTTTACTATGTGACCATTTATTATCACATCCTTTGTACGGGGTAATCTTAATTGAGGAAGTCTTCCATTCACCCATTCCATAGATGAGGTAGACATATGATAAGATTCTTCTGATTCTGGAGGTCGTGCATTCCTGGGGACTATACCTGGATCTCTACCCGATGTCAAGAAAAGAAATGTCAAATCCTGCATGATTCATCAAAGAGTCAGAGTTAACCAGCAATGTGCCAAATATAATTGAAGAGAACTCACGTTAGCATAAAGCATTCAAAGATGGATTTGAACAGGTAGGAAAAACAACCTCCCATCATTAAAAAAAAGATGTGTACTGATTCTGCAACCTAAACTTAAAATAGGCATCTCAACCACTCTGTTACAAAATTGAGTTGGGTAGAGATTAGGTGTAATCAAGTTTGGGCCGTGGTGAGAAACTCTCAATTTAAATCCAGAAAGAGCAGGCATATTTATGTCAGGTCAAGAAATGATACCTTAGAGATATATAAATGGCACAGAGCAACCTTATAATTCAAATGTTAACAGGTCTTTCAATGTTTAAAAATGCATATGGTGCCAACATAAATACTAAACCTCTGAATCGGAGACACAATACACCACTAACACCAGAAGCATCCAATGAAGTAGAAACCCAATACTAGAAAATATATTTTGCACTCCAGAGAAAAAGGCTATTACCCAATGCAGGTTCTGGCTAACCAAGGGAGTGGATTTCATATGGACCTAACCTCTAAGAGAAGATAGCAAAACTGATGAAAAATGGCTAGTATAAGACTTAAGTGGGAAGAGGATAGAAATATTTACAGTTAGATGACATAAGCTACTTCTTTTACTTCCAAATTAAATTTGTGCTATCTTTCCTGAACTTGCAATCTTCTCTAAACTCTAATAGTTATTAGGACCATTCAGAAATATTAGTTTATTCTTAATAGATTTCATAAAGCATATAGTGATAATTCTGCATGCTAGTCAAAATCCCCAAAAATAATATTTTCTGCTGTGTTGTCTATAATGCATTGTGCAAACTTCAACCCTCCCCATGTGCCATTCATTCCCCAGGACATCTCAATTTAGACTATGTAAAACTAATGCATTAAAATTGCTCGATATATAAACTCATCAGTTCAATAATCCCAGTCAAGAATTAGCATATTCTATGAAAAGTGTTACTAGAAGATATTTGTCATTTCTATCACCCTTAAGAAACTATTAATTAGGCAGTGTTTCTGATCAGCACAGCCTTTTGAGGTTTGCCTAATTTCAGAGTGGCTAAATCAACTAGAATATATGGATGTATGAGGAATGGCATTGAACTGAATATTGATGAATCAAATAAAGAGTTACAATAGTTCATCCCAAAGTAAAATAGGGAGTAAACTGGAACTATGGAGATTCATTGAAATTGAGAATACACTGATGATCCTTAAAATAGAGATAATAAAAAAAATAAAGGTAAAGAAAGATATACTAACCAATATTGTTACAATCAATCCCACAGTTGGTATAGGATACCCAAGAAATTGTTCTGGGACTTTTGCTTTTGCAAAACTTTGTATGCAAAATGTTAGGGCGGGTCCGCCTATTAGGAATGTGGATAGAAACAGCGATGAAACATCGGGACCAAAGATCATTCTCCCACCACAAAAAAAATTCTGTCAACAAACAAACACACACACACACACAAAGCTTCATTAGTTAATAGTGTTTCATGCATGTGGAGTATATAAAATAATTAGACTATCAAGGTTCTATTACCAAGTGTCCAAAATATATTTCAAGAATATTCATCACTTTATTACTGTTGCAGAAGCTGGAGTATTGAACAAAAAAAAAAAAAAAAAAAGTCCCTCACAATTCTGTAAATCAAAATGTAGCTTCCACAGAATGTCATGCCAGGAATATTAGGGCACCCAAATAATATAAAAAATATAATAAAATTACTATATCATCATCCAAGATCTCCTTACTCCTAACCCATTGAAGCAAACACCAAGATGTAAGAGAGGAGTACAGTGAGGGGAAGGAGAGAACATTTTGAACATTTTCTTCTACTTCATGGTATTTTTTGCTCTATAGTCTGGGGCCCTTGCTTCCATATAATGTAGGAGAGACTTTAATATCAATTTCAAAATCCATCACCCATCTACTAATATAAGAACAATTAAATGGCCATTAACTACACCACATTCTATTCAAACATGAATCACTATGTACAAGTTCTCCTTCAGGGTTTAAGAAACTTAGATATATATTGTTTAGATTTCTCTTAGATATATATTGCTTCGAATTCAAAACCCTCCACTTAAAATAATACTAGGTTACTGGAAAATCATGAATTTTAGGAAACTCTAACTAGAAAATTTGATTTTCTAATAAAACAAGCTTGTATCATTTATCCCAATCCCAATTAAATTTCTTATTATCATACTAAACAATGACAATCTGCAACCAAGCTATTGAAACCTTGGTCATCTGTTTTTTTATTGTGATTATACTAGAACTAGAAGAATATGGGAGATGGTGCCGGTGCCAGAGATTATTTAGACTCAAGGGTTGTTTCAATGCAACTGTTTGGCAGCTATTCTCTCTCACCTTGCTTTCTGCACCACTGATTATCATGTATGGAAGGCAAGAAATACTCAGCTGTTTGGTGACCTATGGGGTAAAGCAAACTTTGTAGGTGCTGAATAGTTCAAGAGATACAGCTGAAAGGCCAGAAGCTTGAAGTGGCAAAGTATGACCAGGGTCTTTGTGATTATGTTATGAGATCCTGGTTGTGCTAATAAGTGTTGTTTGGGACTAGTTTTGTGTCTATTCTTGGTTGTGATTTGTTTGTTGGTTGTAGTACTATGCTGCTGTTTTAGTGTGTGTACTATAGGGTAGCTATAGGTTGTTGATGTTTGGGGTTGCCATTGGAGGGGCTGTTGTTTAGTCTATTATGTCTCTCACTGTTTTTGTATTTGGAGCCCTCTAGGACTGTGTTTTTGGTGTTTGATTTTGTTTTGATAATTAATGAAATTTGGTTATTTACCAAAAAAAGATTCCCAAACCATGGATAAATAGAACCGAAAAGAAGAGAATATAAACCCAATCACCCATACTGTCCCCCACCAACTTCAATTGCAAACAGGAAAAAATAATTTGCCAATAAAGCTCACTTTTTCCTCATCAAATATGTAAATTCAAATCATGCCAAGTGAACGATACAATAATATAAATTATTAGAAAAGAAAGGATAAAATGAAAGAAAAAAATACAAACTCAGTTATTTACTTCTAATTTCAATTTGTTCCATTGGACCAGTGACAATAAAGCAATAAAAATGAAAAAAAAAATCCAATAAACGTGAATTAGTTCAGATAAGCAACCCAAAAACCATTGGTTCCATGACAAAAACTCATGAAACATTAAGAATCCAAGTAAAAAAAAAAAAGCATTGCATTGCTTGCTCTTCAAACCTCCTTTGGAGAAAAACAGGAAACAAAAAAAAAACACAAAAAAGCGACTAATTTTCTTATCAAATAAGCACGTCTCTACCAGCAAATGATCAGCAACATCATCTTCACAAAATCTACAAGAAAAAAAAAATCAAAATCAAAATTTCCAAATTCACTTTCTTTTAGGCGAAACAAAATGATCGATCCAACCCATGCAGCAACCAAAATTAAACAAGTCATCACCCTTTTCGTAAATGTAATGCCCACATATTTGTTCCTTTCGGAGTTCATCAATCACAACCCAATTGATCTAACGATCAAACAAGCACATTCTTCGTAGATGAGAATTCAAATGAGATGAACTTCCATCTGTCGAACAGAACAAAAAAAGAAAAGAAAAAGGAAAATGAAAACTTACGTTGCTTCCCTTCCATGCTTGGTAGAGCCTCTTGGGCTTCTTTGGGGCCATATCTTTTGAAGACATTCCCCAATTTGTATTTTGATATTTACTCGTAAGACCTGTGCTTCCTTCTTAAACATCTGCTACCTTTTCTCGTAGAGATGATTGATAGCCTTCGTTACAACCAACGTAGCATTATGAAACCCAGATCTTTGTTTTATTTATTCTGTTTCTCTAAGTAACGTAATTGGGATAGGTCGACAGGGACGATGAAGCAGGGGAAGGAGGTTTCCGCTTTCTCTCTGTTGGGATCAAAACCAGCTACCCCTGCTCATCATTCTCTAACAGGTTAGACAAAGAATATACTCTTTCATCACATTCTCTCTCCTCCCTCCCTCTCTAACACCCCTATCCCAAAACCTCCACAGCCTCTTTCTCTCTCTAAAACAGAGCTCTCCCTCCCTCCCTCTATCTCCGTCCTATGTTGAAACGGTTGCCTCCGGCTCCGCTGGTTCAATTTCCCGCGGATTTTTCGGGGGAAACTAACTTTTCTTGTCCTAAGAGATTATCGTTCATTAGCAGATACCACAGTATCGAGTCCGGATCACCTGCCAACTAAACTCGTTCCAACTCTTACCAACATGATCTTACACCGTACATCAGGTTCCACTTTTATGGTGGATCCAGCATGGTGCAATGTGCGGTATTAGATAAGTTGGTAGAGGGTTGGAACGTTTTATGTTGGCCGAAAATCTCAGCTCCACCGCAACGGGTGTATATTGTTTTGTTTTTAAGAAATTAGTAATTTTTTTGATAGATTATTGAAACCTCCCCTAAAGCTTCTCACTCTTGCTGAAACCTCCCCTAAAGTTGTTAATGGCAATCACTTTTTGTTATAGTGGTACAGTTAGGTCCCCACCATTAGAATCCTGTAAGAAAAACTTTAGGTCTCTTTTTTTGTTCATCAAGTTTGTATTGTTTTTTTTACGTAGATATCATCCTCAATAGTAATTGCATAGGTATTTTGGACATTTTTCTATCCCTTATTAAAATATTTTAAGAGAGAGGTTCTATTTGCAATTATGTACAAAATGTAATATATAATTTATATATGTGAAAAATATATAATTATATATACTTGTTAACGTATTGTATGTATAGAGGTGTAAAGTGGGCCATATCGGGCTGGCACAGCACGGCTTGTGGGCGGCCTGCACTTTTTGCGGGTCGCATCGCCCTCCCCGATGAAAAATTTGGGGGTCGGCACGACACGGCCCAGGCCCGGGCCATGCTACGGGCCGGGCTGGCCCGTGGGCCAAACCTTGGGCCAGGTCGGATCGTGCATCAGGCCAAAGCTATTTATTTAAAAAAATGACAAAAAACTTAAAATTTTAATTTATATGAATTTTGTGTATAAAATTGCTTATATATACAATAATTAAATAAATTAATATAATAACATTAAAAAATATTTATTTTATTAATATATTATATACTATATATTATTATATAATTATGATTTATATAATATTATATAACTATATATAAAATATATATGTGGGCTGTGCCGGGCCGTGCCAACCCATGGACCTAAAATCCTAGGCCCAGCACGGCTCGCATAATCATGTCAAGCCTAACATGGCCTGCAAACCGTCGTATCGGGCCATGAGCAGTACAGCCTGATTTACACCTATATGTATGTATGTGTGTGTGATCAAAGTTGAATGGTGATAGATAAATGCATCATTTCTGTTGACTTGCAAAGAAAAGCTGACGATGCATTGAGTCCATAAAATGAACCACGAACTGAATGTTGTTGTAGTTTTGTGGTTCAAATACATATCAGAATGCCTATGGTGGTTCAAAACCAATATTTTCATTTTAAAAAATAGGTGGTATGGTTCAAAACACAACCACCCTTTTATTGAACTATGATACATCATCATATCTAATGAGATTAAATAAAGGTTTTGCAATTAATATAGCAGAATAGCTTTTGGTGGGTTGTAAGTTAAGAAATGCCATTGTGTATATAAGTCCCATTATTTTGCATCGAATCCCATTATTGATTAAAATACCCAGGATTCTAAATTTGGTTTATTTCTAGTTGTGAGGGAAAGAAAATATAATTTGAATCACTACTTTTTAATTTATTAAATTCACTCTAATTAAGTCTTGCATTCAAGATATGAACTCACATTTTCTCTCATTGAATCATATATTTAAGCAATTTTTGCTTACATATAAATTTTATCAATTATATCTATATCCAATACTTCTAATAATGTAAAACCCATGTTTTTTAAAACCAACTCAGAAATAAAATTGTTCTTTCATCTTGGTGACAGTTACACAATTCAATCATTTGGGTCAAATGTGTCATCCACGATGTCATAGTTAAGTAATGATACTTTTAAATCAAAAAATGAATGCAAAAAGTAAAAAAAAAAAAATTGTAAAAATTGGGCACATCTCTAAACATAATAACAAAGCATAAATTGGTTGAGATTCTCATCCAAAATTATGGAAACTCTTGAAAAATAACTTGGGAATTTGAAAAAAGCTTCATTGTTTTCTATTTTTCCATAGTTTCCACTTGATGCCAACCTCATAATTTGCTAGAACCTGTGTAATCAAATACTTGCAAGTTGGGTCTATTAAATTGGATAATACAATATCTAGGGTCAATAGTTGGATAATCACCTTCTAGCCTTCTAGGTACACCATAGGAATTAATAATGGGCGTCAACCTAACAGGGGTTGATCCCAACCAACAACCTTTTCCACACAAGGAACAGGCAAGATAGTGAACCACCCTGTATGAGTTATGAGAAACATATGTAAAAAACATCACCGACTCCAGTCTACGTATCTGTGCCAAGATGTCCACAAAAGACAGGCCAAATCTCGCTTGGTGGTTGAATACAGGCCGAATTTAACCATTTAACTAATAACTCACGATCAGACCTGATCACCACCTTGAAGTCCGCACTAGAAGGAATCCACGGGTCGCTCCATATGTTGATCGAACATTCATCGCCAACTTGCCAAATCAGCCCTCTCTCTAAGACTTTCTTTCCCAATATTAGAATTCAAATCAGACCCCCCCCCCTCCACACACAAGATTGCCCCCACAACATCCACAGCACTGGGAATATCTCCCAATGATGATATCATCATTTTTGTTATTGTCATCATGAAGATGTTCTCAATATACGGTGGGGATGTGCTATGGGACTGTTGGTCGGAGGGAGATTCAAAATTTCAAGAATCTCTCTATTCCTTATATTGTTTTTAAGTTTGTTCTTTTCTCTTCCCACTCTTGAGTGTATGGGAAAATTTTTTGTCCCACATTGCTTGGGAAATGAATAAAGGTAGAGTGTATTTATAGTTTTGCTCTCTTTCTCTATGAGTAGGGATCTATACGAGGAAATCACTATAGATATCCCATGCATGTGAGGGGGGTTGGCATTGCTTTTCACATGTGCGTGCCGAGGGTGCGAGCGCACTACATCGAATCAGTTTTGCTTTTAATCGAATTAATCATTTGAATTTTAATTTTGAATTTATTTTTTGAACAATTTTTTTTTCCTATTCGTGTCTCCTCCTTTCTGTGTCTTTTCGAATTGGTTCTTGTCTCTTTCCCTTCTGTGTCTCTTTGAACAAGTGCACTGTTTTGAAGAGGCACCTGTCTAAACAAACACTTATATCCATTCGGGCCTGAGAACACTCTATAAAATGAGTGTTGGTTGACCTAATTTTCACACAAATCATTTTACATTTTCGACAATTTTTTGTATTCTCTGCAAATCCGAGCATCATTTCTCTGTGGTTCACGGAAGTCTAGTAAGCGAATGTACGCCTACTAGTGACATGTGGGTTGTTTTGTCTTGGCAACCGATTTGCGATCACTCGACTACACCGTAGGGGGCAAATGCGATTTTAAGGAGAGTGACCAAGTGACACGACTCAACCCTCCTTCTCTCAATTCCACAATTATGCAATATCATACTCCTACAAGTTCTCAATTTGAAAAACGATTACCGATAAGTTCCATATGTCTTATTTATTATTTTCCAACAGGGACAATGTTGTAGGGGTCTGATTTAATTACTTCTCCAAGCCACGAAAAGGATTGGGAGAAGGACGAATTGGGGTAATATTTTGACTTAAGCAACCTACTCAACAGTGAGTTCAGCCTTTGAACTATTCTCATACACTGTTTAGCTAGAGGGCCAAATTAAGATGCCTTAGGTTTCTAAAACCCCCCTCTCCTTTCTTGGGTTCACAAACCCCCATCTCCTTTGGATACAGTTCACTTCTTCACTGATTTGTTTGGGGAGAAGAAACATTGACCTAGTATAAACCGGTATGGAGTTTAGGACGGATTTAATCAGAACTTCCTTGCATGCCATGGACAGATACTTCTCTTTCCAACCACTTGCCCTTCTAGACACCCTATCCACTATAAAACCGAAAGTTGTTTTCTTTCATTTACCAATTTCTGTTGGCAACCCTATGTAGATACCTGATGCTTCCACTCTTTTGCTCAATATCAACTACTTATAGTCTTTCTAGCACAAAAAAGAAAAGATAATCTGCTTAAAGGATAAATGTAAAAGTCCTTGGGAGCATTAAGTAGATTTACTCGTGCATTCAAGACAAGCTAAATTGAACTTTGGCATGTCGACTAAAGTACTATTAGGTTTAAGTTCAAGTTTGATTCAAAGTATATTTTTTTGTTTGAGCTCAGTTCAATTAAATATTTGATGAGATCAAGCTTAGTTCAGAAGATCAAAAAATGAATATATTTTTATATATTATATATGATATATTTTTTATAATATATAGGGTATTATATTATATATAGATATTTTTACATTTTATAATATATACATATGTACATACGAATGTATGTATGTATGCATGTACGTATGTGTGTGTATATTAATTGAGTCAGACTCATGACATTTTGAGCCAATGCTTTTATTGGTCAAGCTCAAGTTCAAATAACTAATCAAGTTTATTCTAAGGTTCAAACTCGATTCGAATCTAATCAAACTCGAGCCCAAACTATTTGAATAGAGCTATATATATATTTTTTTATTACCGACCCTCAATAGATCATTGAGAAATGCTATTTGTAAAGAGGAGCGCCTTAACTGAAAGGGATCACTTCTCCTCCTTGGAACTTGAGAAAAATTATGGATGAATAACTAATCAAGTTTATTCCAAGGTTCAAACTCGATTTGAATCTAATCAAGCTCGAGCCCAAACTATTTGAATAGAGCTATATATATATATATATATTTTATTACCGACCCTCAATAGATCATTGAGAAATGCTATTTGTAAAGAGGAGCGCCTTAACTGAAAGGGATCACTTCTCCTCCTTGGAACTTGAGAAAAATTATGGATGAATAACTAATCAAGTTTATTCCAAGGTTCAAACTCGATTTGAATCTAATCAAGCTCGAGCCCAAACTATTTGAATAGAGCTATATATATATATATATATTTTATTACCGACCCTCAATAGATCATTGAGAAATGCTATTTGTAAAGAGGAGCGCCTTAACTGAAAGGGATCACTTCTCCTCCTTGGAACTTGAGAAAAATTATGGATGATTGCCTGTTGTGCAAGAGTAAATTTAGTAATGGAATAAGATGCTGGCAAGTTTATAGAGAAGCCAACTAGAGGGCTGATTGGGTTGCAAACTTGGCTATCTCTTCGATTTCTGGTTGTGTTTTTCTTGATTGTATGTTTATTCCTTGGGACTTAGAGTTTATTTGTTTTTGTGATTTATGGGGACATATTACCCCCCGCTTCATGCTTGTGTAGCACATTCATTTTTCCATCAAAAAAGGGAAAATTCCCGATTAGTACCCTGTACTTTGGGCCTAGTGCCATTTTAGTTTCAAAACTTTAAAATGCGACAATTCAGTACTCAAACTTTTAAAACGTGACAATCCAGTATTGGCCGTTAAATAGATGTTAATCAGCTATTAAGTGGCATTTAAAAAAGACACAAATGCCCTTCAAGTGTTATTTGATTTTCTTTATCAACTATTTAAACGTTGACAAAAAACTAATAATCCCAAATCCTTGCTTTTTTCCATTCAAGAAAGTTGGGGTCACGTTTGAGTGGACATTCTGGTGACCCCAACTTTCTTGAATAGAAAAGGCAAGGATCTGAGACCGTTAATTTTTTATCAATGTTTGATGGTTGATAAAGAAAATTAGATGACACTCAAAGGGTATTTATGTCTTTTTCAAATGCCACTTAACGGCCGGGTACAACTACTTAACAAGTCAAATTTTGAAAGTTTGAATATTGAATTATCATATTTTAAAGTTTAGAGACAAAAATGACACTAGGCCCAAAGTATATGGTACTCAAATAGGGAATTTTCCCTAAAAAAAATGAGGCATCAACAAAAGAAATACATATACCATGAATTTAATCTACACTTACCCTATAATTGGTTTGAAGGAAAAGTTAGAAAAACCCATACAAGGTTTAAAAAGATTTCTTTAACTTTTTATTCTTTTCCCTTCCTTTTCCATCGAAACAAACATAGCCTTAAAAACGGGAGACATTCACAATGTATTGATGCCGGTGTGTAGTGTTCTGGGGTACGTGGAGAGTTTTATGGGGAAGGGAATCTAGGCCCGTCCCGTGGATACGGAATATTAGTATGTTCATTCATGAATGATCATGTAATTAGGTTCTCCACAGATCCCCAACTCTGTTCGTAATCAATCGCACATTAGGAATATCTAGGGGAGATATTCTTTAGTGTGTAGCGGGATTTCCATTTAGAGTTTTTAGTTGCAGCCGCGCGTCGAAATGCTTGCATAAATTTCAGGCGTTCACAAATCACACGAGGGTGGAGCCGTGGAGCGGTGGAGGGTTCACAGAGATCACATCATCACACGGAGTTTTCCGTTTTGGCGGTATTTATTTTCCAATTTGGCGGCAAATTCTCAATGAGGGAATTGCTTTTCTGAAAAGTGAAACCAAACAATGAAACAACGAGAAAGCAATTTCCACGATTCTTCCTATTTTGAAGCCAACAGCACCATAGCAGAGCAGTTCCATACACGGGACATGGCGAATTGCTGAGAGATCTCCATGGTTTTGCATCCACTTTCGCGGTTGTATCGAGTTTATTGGAGTTTCTAGCGGAAGATCGTGACTGTGATATTCTTTGTGTCTCTCCATGGTGCTGTCCAGAGAATTGAGATCTAGGGCTTCTTGTTCTGACGCCGTTTCAAGCTTCTTTTCTCACAGGAGCTGGGGTAGTGATGAAAACGCTGAAGATTTGCAAGATGGAAGCGACGAAGAGATCCCACTCTCTGGGCTTCTAAGAATCGCCGCAAAGCGTAAGTTGTCGAATTTAAACGGGCGGGAGTCTGGATTTTCAGAGAATAAGAAGAAGAAAATAAAGACTTCTGGGGTTTTTCCATTGAATGGGACTTCAGAAACTTGCTCTGAGAGTGATGTGAGTGGGGACCTCGATCTCGGTGTTCCAATTTCGCAGTTTCATAGAAGTAGAAAGCAAGGAAGAGATAGTCCGGATTTAGCTAAGTTCGGTGTTTCGAGGAGGAGGGAGAATAAGAATGGAAACGGAGATTCTGTAGCTTTTGCATCAAATAGGGTTTCCTTCGGTTCCTCTGTAAGTAAAGATGATACAGAAAGTGGTTGCATTGATAGGACTGTTCTGATATCTTGGAATTGTAGTGAAGGTGAAAGCAATAAGGGAAAGGAAGATGCGACTGAAATGGAATTTGGGGTTTCTGAGGAGGAATCCGGGGTTTCAGAGGATGGACAGCAGTTTCAAGATTTGGAGGAAGTGGAAGAACATTGCGGGGGTTCGCAAGACAGAGGTGATTGTAAGAATTTGAAAGAGGTGGATTCTGTTATAATGAAGGGGAGTGAGAGTTCGGGGGTTGGGAGTTTTTGTGCAGGGGACATTGTTTGGGCAAAAGCATTCCCTTACACCTGGTGGCCGGGTTGGGTTTGCAAAAGGGGTCGTCGTGGGATTAAGATCTCATTTTTTGATTGTGATAAAACTAAGTATTTTCAGGAATCAGAAATTTTGTCTTTCGAGAAGAATTTTATGGAAATGTCCAAGAAGGTTGGATGGAGGGCATCCTCTGCGCTAGAGTGTGCTTTGGTGGCGTGGAATCACAAAATTGTGGAATGGCTAACTTGTCCTTGCCAGATTTCAGTGGAAGATAAAAATATGGTGCATCCGAAAAATGTAGGACAGTGTTCTGTGGAAAGTTTTGTTGAAGCAAAGTTATTAAAACCACTAGAGGTCCTGGATTTTTCCCGGAGAATGGCCATTTGTTGCTGGGTTGAAGATGCAGAAATTACTAATACAGTTAGAGCATCTGCCCAAGTTAATGCTTTTAGACAATATGTTTCCATCAGACAAGATTGGATGTACCGTGAAACGATGAGGCTTTCTGAGAGTTGCTCTGCTAGTAATGATGACGTAGAAGCAACCATAAGGGGTACGTGGTCTTTCATTGTTCTTCTAGTTCATTTGATTGACAATGAATAATCTTTTTGCTCTTGTAAAACCGAGTATATGATTACAAAAGCAATGGTATGGGGAGTGATTCTTTTCTTTATTTTCCTTGTTTTCGTTTTCTGCTTCTCATTTTTTTTTGATAATTGAAATTTAATTCATTAAATCAAAAGATAGATCTGATACAAACAAGCCCAGAGAGAGGCTCGAGGTGCAGCCTCACTCTTAAGAACAAATATCAGAACTACATGAAAAACAAGTAACCACTAGAAGAGAGATAATACACAATTACAAAGCTGCCCAGAACAGAGAATCCATGTTAACATCTTGTCTTGCAAGAGAATCAGCCCTCTCATTAGCCGATCTTCTTACCCATTGGATCCTCACTATCATATTCCTTGTTAACCAAATCACCTTCTTAAGAAGATCTCTTAAACCCCAGAGAGTTGAATCCGGATCCAGCAACCACCCCACAACAACCTAGGAATCACCTTCAATTATCAGCCTTTTTTCTATACCAAGTTAACTGGCTAGCTGAATCCTCTGTACAGCAGCTAGAAGCTCTGCTTTGGTAGAGTCTCCTAAACTGACTGGACCTAAGAATAATGCTAAGACAGTGCTGTCCTTATCTCTCAAGATTCCTCCTATGCCAGAGGGGCCAGGGTTACCTTGGCTGCTTCCATCAAAGTTTAGTTGAACAAAATCCTCAGGAGGAGGGACCCAAACTACAACAAAACTCTGTTTTGAGGATGAAGTGCTTGCCACCATTGACCACTTCCTCTAGAAGTCATCAAAGGAAAAAAGCTGGGATAAGTTTGTTGTTCTCAACCAGTGTATTGCCCTTATGAAAATGCAATCCTTCAACTAAGAAAGGCTTCTCTCCTTATTGTGGAAGATTCTAGTGTTCCTTTCCTCCCAAATAGTCCAGAGGGAAGCTGCCCTAATACACCTCCACGTTAATCTTCCTCTTTTTGATTGTCTTCCAAGGATTGAAGGTTCAAACAACTGAGAGACTTCTGCTGGCAGCAATCACTTACAACCAAAGATGGCAAAAACCCAACGCCAGATAGCTGTAGCATCAGGGCAAGATAAAAACAGATGGAAACATTCCTCACCATTGGATTTGCAAAGAGAACACCAGTTTGGGGACAAGCACAAGTAAGGCTTTTTCTTCTGCACCTTGTCCAATTAACCTTTCCAAGGAATACTTCCCAACAAAAGACAGAGACCTTTGGGGGAATGGGCTTAGTCCAAACTTCCTTAACAGGAAAGAGTAAAGAGAAAGAGGATGAGCAAAGGATTTTGAAAAAGGAACCTTTGGGCGAAGGGAACCAAATCCTTTCATCTGACCTAAGGGGGTTCAGACAAACATTAGCCAAGAGAAACAAGAGGTATGTTACACAAGTCAATTCTGCCTCCCCTAAACCTCTTCTAAACCCTAAATCCTAATTAAAAGAATCAGGGGTGATAGGAGAAGAAAGACACCTGGCCACCATTTCATTCTTCCTCAAGGAAACCTAATAGAGAGAAGGATTTATTGCTGCATTTGGAGAATATTGCTGTTAACATAAGAAATATGATATTTTTTTATTTAGTATTTGAATATGTACCATAATATGCATTTTTTTTTTCTGTTTAATACTTGAACACGTACCATATAGAATTATTTTTACATGCTTTTGTATTGTTATATTACATCTCTATATATCTAATTACCTTATACAAGAAGTGGCATTATGCAATTAGTTGTGTCCTGTTCTGTGGGATCCCTACCTACGAGGTACCTAGGGCTTCCCCTAGGTAGGGGTGTAGACAGTATACGAAAATCCGATTTCGAATTTGATATTCGACATAATCAACTTGAATTCGGATAATTCGAATATCTAATTGGTCAAATTCGGATATGACCTAATTCGATTTGATAAATATCCAAATTCGACCGATTATTTAATTCTTATATATAATATATAAAATATTTTATATAATTTATATAATAATTAAGTTATATAAATGATTTATATATTTATATACTTTATATCAATAAATTTTTATTTTATATATTTATTAATTATCTAAAATAATTAATTAATCAAATTCGATTTGAATCGAATATTCGAATTCAAATTTGGATATTAATTTTCAATGTCTGTTGGATATCAGATCGAATTCGGATATTGCATGATCCAATTTGAATTCGATTCGTTTACACCCCTACCCCTAGGTGCTAGCTACAGATCTACTGCCTTGTGGGACTTGGTCATTGAGACATTTAGAAGGAAGTCGGCTAGGTGGAAGCGGAGTTGTTTTTTTTTTTCTTTTGATAAGTGGAAGAGCAGTCTCTTTGAGGATGGGAAGCTCACACTCATACAAAGTGTATTGTCCAGCCTCTCGATTTATTACATGTCTTTGTTCTCTTTACCTTCTTTAATAGCCAAGACATTGGAGAAGCTTAGGAGGGATTTCTTGTGGGATGGACCAAAGGAAGAGAAGATGTTTCACTTGGTGGATTGGAAGACCATTTGCCAACCTAAGGAGAAAGGGGGCAGTCTTGAAGCAACTCAAAGCCATTAATGAGGCTCTCCTCAGCAAGTGGAGATTTGGTTAAGAAAAGGACCACTTGTGGAGACAAGTGGTAGGCTGCAAATTTGGGAGATCTCCTATGGAGTGGGATTCATTGGTGCCACTACAATCTTATGGATCCAACCTTTGTAGGGGAATTGTGAACCTTAGGGTGGACTTTTGGAGATATATTTGTTTTAAGTTGGGTGGTGGTGCCACATGGTACTTTGGAAGGATGTTGGGTGTATCAACCAGCTTTTTTTTTTATGCTTTTCCAGTGTTGCAGATAAGGGTGTCGTGGTGAAGGACTTTTCTGAGTGGTTGGGATCCTAGATGACGTGGATTCACTAGGTCCACTGATGGAGATTCTGAATGTAGTGTGTCTTCATCCACATGCCTAGTGCCTAGGTGCACTTCAAGGTCTGCACCTCGCCTAGGCCCAGGCGCAACTCCTTTAAAAATGTGTGAACTTGGTGCACCTAGGCGTGTGTTTGTGCGCTTTGCACCTCAGCCCAGACGTGTTCTTCAGTTAAATTTTTTCTTTTTATTCTTTCTTAAGCATGGTGGCTAGGTCGAGGGCTCCACCACTAGACCCCTAATTGAGACCCTTGAGGCAAGCCCAAACATATCCATTCTAGGTTTTTAAATTCTTAATCTATATATAAAAAATTGGTTTTTACTCTTAATTTTGGTTCCTCATCTATAAAAAAAATGTCTTGTATTAACAAGGATGAATGGCCCATTTCTAATTTACTAATGATATCATTATTTTTAGTGAATGACTTAAGGAGAATGAGGAATCTGAAAATTTTGATAAATTACTTTGAAAGTGTTTCTAACCTGAAAACCTAGATAAGAGCTGTGTGGTGGGGATAAACATGAATGAAGAGGTTATTGAGTCTGTTGCAGAGTGCTTAAGTTATCACGTTGTTTCTTGGCCTTTGTCTTATCTAGGGCTCCCTCTAGGTGCTAACCCGAAGAGAGTGATTTTTGGACTCCAATCTTGGAAAAGTTTGAAAAGATATTAATGACTTGGAAAAAGAGCTATCTTTCTAGGAAGTAGAGTAATTTTGTTAAGAGGCATTCTAGCTAACTTGCCAGTTTATTATCTTTCTGCGTAGGATCCCCTCTAGGGAGGCAATGAAATTGGAGTTGGAGAAACTAATGAGGAATTTCTTGTGGGAGCCAAGGAACAACCACTTAATAAGGTGGGGGTGGGAAATAGTATGTAGGAGCAAGGAAGAAGGTGGGCTGGGGATATCTTATCTTGTTAGTAGCTTATCAGATTAGGATTAGCTTATCTTATCCTTAGCAAGATAAAACTGGAAGTCTCCCTATTCAGCAAGGAGACTCCCTTTGATTAGGACTCTTGTAATCTCCTATTTAAGGAGACCCCATTATTGAATGAGATATCAAATTATTCAGTCAAGAGTGAGTTAGGAGAGTTGGTGATCTCTTGGACAAATCACCGAAGGTGCCAAGATAGGTTCATCACGAGCAGGAAGGAACAAGGGAAAACAGGAGGTTTTCCCCGTGGACCGACCCGTGACAAGATCCTATTCCCGGGCCCTCAACAGCAATCCTGGCTCCTCAGGTATAGGAGGGGTTTTGAGAGATAAGGATAAGTAATATTTTAGCCTTGTACTTGGGCCCAATAGGAATGGGTGACTCAAATAGGGCTGAGTTGTTGGCAACTTTACAAGGTATTCAGATTGCAAATCAACTTGGTGTTGAGAATCTTCAAATTGAAGGAGACTCTAAGGTTGTTGTGGGTTGGTTAACAGATCCGAACTCAGTCATTTGGTACTACAAGGATCTTCTAAAGAAGGCTAGCTGGTTATTAAGGAATATGAATGTTAGCTTACTTCGGGTGGACATGTCAGCAAATGCTATGACTGATTATCTTACTAAACAAGGGGTTTTCAGGGAACATCTGTACTGGGCTACCTGTAATATTTTATCTCTAGTGCTCTGTGGTTTTTCACATTTTCATGGGAGGTTGCAGCTCTGTGCCCCTTTGTGGGATGCTTGTAACAGTTCTCATCTTTTGATAATAAAATAAGTTACTCTTCAATTATCTAAAAAAAAGAACAACATTAGTAGAAATGGGGGTTAACAAAGAATAGATATGTTTGGGCTTGCCTCAAGGGGCTCAGTACAAAACAGCTTGTAGAATTAGGGTGATCCAATTAGGAGAGAAATAAAGAGATTGAAAGTTTCATGCGCTTGAACTATTGACTGCTTGAATATGTTTTATATGTTATGTTTATGTAGTTTAATCAATGTTTTAAAACATGGAGGTATGTAGCAAGGTGTTCCACTACCTAGAGGCATGAGGTGTAGTTCCGAACATAAGAGGCATAAGGCTCCCATACGCCTCCTTAAGAGGAGGGGGATGAGGAGGAAGATGAAAGAGGAGGGGGA